GGCCCTACCAAACAGATTACCTGTGACAGGCAGAGTAAGAATCCGGCCACAGCAGTCAACAAAGAATGCAAGCCAGGAGAGCATCCGCCACTTCGAGTTTCGTCACTCATGAGCAGATGAGACTCAGGGACAGACTGACCGCCTGGTTTGGCTAAGGGCCCATCAGTGTTGCTGATGACCTCATAAGCAAAATCCCTCCAGGCCCACTGCTGGAGAGTTTCCTGGGACAGGCTAGTTTCTAGAACAGCTTCTAAAAGCAAACCCTCAATCAATGAGGACGACTCTTCCTGACAGCCCTGGGCACACGTTAGAATTTTGCAGATTAAGACTATGAAAGATCCACTGGTCAAAAACTGAGAGGGGATCAAACTGGACATAGTGGCTCAGGCCCGTAATCCTGGTTATTTGAGAGACTGAGATTGGAAGGATCATGGTTTGAGGCCAGCCTTGGCAAAACAATTTGTAAGACCTCATCAGAAAAAAACAATCAACAACAACAGAAAAAGACAACTAAATGTGGTGGATCATACCTGTCATGACAAACTATTTGGGAAGTATAAATAGGAAGATCACAGTCCAGGCTGCCCTGGGCAAAAAGTGAGACCTTATTTGAGAATGACAAGAGTGAAAATGACCAAGGATATGGTTCAAGTGGCAAGAATGGTTTCCTAGCAAGCACAAGGCCCTGAATTCAAATTCCAATACTATTCATTATGGCTCCAATATTCATGGGTCATCTGACATCACCCATGGGAGACACTGTCCCAAGGCTGTAAGCCAGACCGCTAGTGAGGCTAGATCCCCTGCAATTCTGCTTCTGCGCTGTGTGCAGGAGGGTGCATTGGCCTTTCCTCGGGGTCCCTTGGGAGCCATGGGCTTTCCCATCAGGCAGCAGGTACCCCGTCCGTATTTGGTAAATTTGCACAAAGATTCTTGTCTCCCAGGAAATCAAAGCACATGAAGAGTTCCCCCTCCGCAGTTAGGGCTAGCTAGTGTGTGGGAATCCTTCCTTGCCACCTGGAGGCAATCAGGGATATCGGCGGGCATTCGCCATCTGCCAGGCAGCCAGATGGAGCAGACAGAAGCCATGTAGAGGAAGCCAGGAAACACAGCCTGAGACATGGGGCAGGCCCGGCTAGGCTAAGCAGCTGAGCCTGCAGAGACAGCTTTTGTGCTGGGATCTGACACTCCACAGCCTGGGAGAAGTGTGTGTGTGTGTGTGTATGTGTGTGTGTGTGATGAAAACTAATTACTACTCATAAGAATTTTGGAGCAGGGAGCCGGGCGCTGGTGGCTCACGCCTGTAATCCTAGCTACTCAGGAGGCTGAGATCTGAGGATCGAAGTTCAAAGCCAGCCCGGGCAGTAGAGACCGTGAGACTCCTATCTCCAATAAACCACCACAAAACTGGAAGTGGCGCTGTAGCTCAAGTGGTAGAGCGCTCGCCTTGAGCTGAAGAGCTGAGGGACAGGGCCCAGGCCCAGAGTTCAAGCCCCACGACCAACCAAAAAAAAAGAATTTTGGAGCTGGGGCTGGGAAGGTAGCTCAGTGGTAGAGTGCTTGCCTTGCAAGCCTGAGGCCCTGGGTTCGATTCCTCAGCACCACATAAGAAAAAAGCCGGAAGTAGCGCTGTGGCTCAAGTGGTAGAGCACTAGCCTTGACCTGAGGAGCTGAGGGACAGCGCCCAGGCCCAGAGTTCAGGCCTCACAACCGGACCCAAAAAAAAAAAAAAAAATTTTTTTGGAGCTAACCCAGACTTCCCTCAAGAGTCTATTTGCTAGTTGTGACTTTAAGATCTCCCTCGCTTCATGAGGTCAATCTCCTATACCAAGGACCTAGTCCTCTTTGACTTCTTTGGGGAGAATGGCAAAAGTCGACTGAAAGATACACTACCCATGTTCCAGATTCCTGGCACAAGCTGACCACTGGGTGGCTCCCACCTAACTACTCAGGAGGCTGAGATCTGAGAATCAAAGTTCAAAGTCAGCCTGAGCAGACAAATGTGAGAACGTTTTCTCTCCAGCTAACCAGAAAACAAAAACAAAAACAAAGCCAAAAGGAGAGGTATAGCTCAAGTGGTAGACTACCAACCTCGCACAAAAAAGCTAAGCAAAAGCACTAGGCCCTGAGTTCAAGCCCCAGTACTGGTGTACATACACACACACACTCACACACACATACACACACACACAGACTCCTGGACCAGCATATATTCCATACCACATGCTATTTGATGATGTGCTTTTCAGAGGCTAACAGATTGTGAGAGTTATGATCAGGAAAGTCTCTCTGCCTAAGAAGCCACACCATACAATACAGTTCAAGGACCTCAAGGACTTCAGAGCCAGACAAAGCTGGGCTCAAGTCCCAGTGATACCAGAGTCACATTATTGAGTCTAGAAAATGGAGTCTGGACCCAGAGAAATGCAGTCAAGACTCTCGACTAGGTCATCTGTTCAAGCTAAATAGGAGACCCAGCTCTGACCAAGAGCAAGTCACGTGCCACTCCCCAAATGAGGAAACATTGCCAGCAGTTCCCAGGTTCTCCCAGGTAAATAAGGGATTCAAACCTGTGGAGGTCTGGGGACCTGGCTGTGTTGTATGCAGGTCAGCTCTGACCCTCGGGGGGAGGCTGGTGCTCAGGAGGCTACCCCTGTACAGCGGGACCTGACTGTAGTTGCCCTGCTTTGATTCTCAGGGCTGTGAGTACTGGGTCTCTGTTCAAATCTCCATAAAATCATAAAACTTCCATGACCCCTCTTCTGAGTCTGCTCACTTTGTCCTCTTCTTGACTGACCCCCCATTGTCTTGCCGGGAAGCACACAGGAGCCATCGCTGGATGTTCACCTGGGTCCTCCTCATCTCCTGACACTCTGAAGCAGGTGTGCACATGGCCAGCTTGCCCACACACTCCTGTCAGCACCAACACCTCTTTCTTCAGGACACTCTAAAAAGCCCAAGTCTCTACACATTAACTCATTTGGTTGATATTTAGTGAATGCCTACACAGCCTGACTTGGTGGCATTTCCATTCCAACATAAAGGTGGACCCTGAGAGCTCTGGACAAATAGCCATGACTGAAAAAACAAGTCCATGGAATCAGCTTCTACAATGTGCACTAGAGGGCGCCACCCTCCTATTGGTGTGTTTCCAGAAAGCCCACCAACCAACTTCAAATAATACTCAGCCTGTTTGCCTCATAAACATCTATCTCCAGGGTCCCTTCCTGTCCCCCAGCAGGTGTCTGCATAATGGAAAACTCAGCTCTGCCACTCCAGGGGGGAGAATCCCAGGTCCTGCCGGCACCTGGAGACCTCGGTCAGGTTTTGCCTTCAGTAATTTTTCACAATGGTGATTGGCCAGGTCTGAAGCATCTGCACCTGAAATGCTTTGGAGCCCCAGGTTCATTCAAGAACAGCAGCAGGTGTTCATTTTGCTCTAATGTAACTTCCAGCAACAGATGACCTTCCAGAAACAAAGAAGAGCTGCTCCAAGGTGACTTTCTGTGCCTGCTGCTAGCAATTGCTAGCAACTGCAGACTTCTTGCTTAAAGGTGGGGAAAAAAATCACTCATCCCAGTTCATCAAGCATCTGTTCCGCAACAGATACTGTGGTCGCATCAGGAAAGAGCAGGCTGGGTCTTAGAAATGCTGTCCAGCCGGGCACTGGTGGCTCATGCCTAGCTACTCAGGAGGCTGAGATCTGAGGATCACAGTTCAAAGCCAGCCCAGGCAGGAAAGTCCATGAGATTCTTATCTGCAATTAACCACCAGAAAACCACAAATGGCAATATGGTTCAAGTGGTGGAGCACTTGCCTTGAGCTGAAAAGGTGAAGGACAGTGCCCAGGCCCAGAGTTCAAGCCCCACGATCGAAAAGGAAGGAAGGAAGGGAGGGAGGAAGTGCTGTCCAGATTGGGGAGCAAGGCCATCCCAGGACCTCTGCTACCCACTCCAGGAGGACTGGCCGCAGAGCCTGTGCATGTACCTTCCTCAGTCTGCATTCCTTGAAGTGGACACTGAGATGCGGCCCAAGCTGGTATGATTCCATTTTGAGCTTTGCCTTTGTTTTAGGGATTTCAGACTTGATAGGCCTAGTTCCCAGAACGAAAAAATGCATCTGGTCCCCCTCCCCTGAACAACCTAACCCACCCTTGATTGTATTGTTGAGTTAAAGACTGACTCATAAAACAGATAGGTTGTAATCTGGCACATGCTTACGGTAAACCCTACCTTTTGCATGCGCTTACGGTAAACCCCACCTTTTGCCTACCAAAAGGTAGACGCCGCCTTACCCACTAAATTTGTGTGCTATTTTAAACCAAGGTGATTGGCTGGTTTAAATAGCCATTATAGACAAACTGTAACCTCATTGGCCACCTGTGTGGTCTGGTATGACTGTACAATCCTTGTGTGTGTTACAATCCCGTCGGTCAGCTGCACGTGACCAGGCTCTACCTCATGGATTTTGCCTTGAAAAACCAAAGCATGGGGACCACTCGGGGTCGCAGTATCAGCTCCCGAGCCTGTGCTGTGGCCCTGGCTGGTTAGTGTAGGAACCTTCTCAATAAAGTTGCTTCTTGGTTAATAGCTTTGTTGCGGTGGGCTCTGTCACTCCGGACGACTAGGTGGGCTTGCCTGCCTGAGTAGGAGTCTTCCCACTAGATCCTCAGGCCCCAACACATTTCAGATGAGCCGTCTAGGACACACCCACGGGAAACCTCAGTGTCAACTGTCTATCCCACTCGGTCAGCGGAAGGGCCTTGGCCAAGGTCGAGACTGGACGCGGAGCCTTGTGCACTAGACTCCTGTCCCTTGTTTCCAGCTGGGAGGGACAGGAGTCTAGTTCACAAGGCTCCGTGTCCAGTACCATACCAATGCTTCGGGCCTCCTGGCCGGGGGAGATGGCCGCCTGGCAGCCCCTGGGGGGGGTCTCCCCCACGGGTCCCAGCACCATGCAGTACCACCACAGGAAGAGGCGGTTCCCCTCTCGAAACTTACCCCACACGTGGAATCCCAGAAGCAGAGGCCCGAGAGGATTCTCCTCTGTGCAGGGTGAGAAGTGTTGGAGAGGACTCCAAAGAAGGGGAGGGGGCTAGTCCGCTGGGACTAGCTTCAAAATGGTGTAGCACCCCCTCAGGAAGCCCTGAGCACACGTCCCCTCCCCCCACGTCACCTCTCACCCCTCATCGGGTGGGCGGGGCCGGGCGCAGGGCCAGGCTGGGCAGCTGTGAGCCACTAGTGCCCAGCTTCCACCACTGCTGGACACAGAAGACATTTTCTCGTGTGGACATTATTGGGGTGAGGTCGGTGAGGTTCCGGGGAGTTGCAAGGTGGCATAAGGAGGGTGGAGGTGGGAATGGGGGTGCACAGACAGGGATTGGGCCTGCTCTAGAGGAGACACGTGGTCCTTACCTTTAGCCTTTCCTTCTGCACGCACTGTGCTCTGGATTCCAGCAAATTCCCATGAAGCCAGGCTGGGCAGGCCGGGTGAGGTGAACCGTGACGGTGTACAACTGGGGTTGGGGTATGAGGAGGAGTGCGCCAGGCATCTGGACGCTCACTAAGGAAGCAGCCTCGTTTCTCTATACCCCCAAAAGCTTGCCCCCAAGAAAAACCCCTCTGCAGACAATGGGGTGACGGAGGCAGCCTCAGGTTGGGCTCTGGGCAGGCCCTGTGGCCCTGGAGTTCCATCAGGCCTCAGGACACTAGCAATGTCTACTCAGCTCTAGTTTCCCCCCCCCCCATTTGCACACTGTGGGCTCCAGGTGGGGCTGGGCCTTTCCACAACAGGTGTGGAAACCAGCCATTCATCACAAACAGCTGCTGCCCCCACTCCTACCCCCTCTTCCGCCCCCATCCCCTCCGCTCCCCTCACCACAGAGTCTGGTCAGGTAACTGGCAGTGGAGCAGGCTGAGGGCCAGACCTGCCGCCCCAGGGAGGCTTCAGGGAAAGAAAGTGAACGGGATTCCCAGCACTGACCTCAAGTGACTGGCCACGTGGAGTGACTCACCACACAGGACCCTGCTGGGCTCACAGAGGCTGTGGATGTAGTCACACAGCCAAGTGGACAAGCAGGATGCAGAATGCAGGTGCTGGAGCGCACCTTGGACGCGATGAGGTCTGGTCCCTTTATTATCACGAAGGACACCACTCAAGCCGTGGCAAGTGGGCCTCCGGTCAGCACCTCCTCCGAGAGAAGATACGGCAGTTGGCTGCAAGCTTTGCCTTAGGGTAGAAGACAGTGATGTGTCTGATACTTACATTAATAGCTTGTGTACCTCTTTGCTTCTTAAACTAATTCCATGAGGTGTGATTTTTCTCCTGTCATAAGAGGACTTCGATCAAGATCAAGGCTGGTCTAGGAAACCCAGGCCCAGAACATATTCTCCTGACTTGGGCCATCTTGAAGGCACATCTCTGGTCCCCATGAAGTTACCCCAAATCTGCTCTGCAGGTCTGTCCCCACTGTGGGCTGAGCAAGCAGCTGGAACCCCAGCATGCCTGGTAAAAAGACAGGATTGGAGGCTGAGATCTGAGGATCACAGTTCAAAGCCAGCTCCAGCAGGAAAGTGTGAGACTCTTATCTCCAATTAACCACATAAAGCCAGAAGTGGAGCTGTGGCTAAGTGGTAGAGAGCTAGCCTTGAGCATAAAAGCTTAGGAACAGCACCCAGGCCCTGAGTTCAAGCCCCAGACCAGCAAAAATTTTTAAAATAAAATGAATTAAAATGTAAAAGCCAAGAAGCAAGGTGTGGGTTTTGATTTGTTTCCTTTTGTCTTTAGCCATCTTATGACCATATTTCAACGGAAGCCCCACCCTGCTCCAGCGAAGACCCAAGGACCACCTCATACCAGCTGATAGTAACAGAACCTTTATTCTACTCCAACAGCTCCGCTGGATGTCAGAGACCCCCAAAATAGTCAGCCTGCGTGACTAGTTCTGTGCACTCCTGTGTCACCACGGCAGGCTCCCTCTTTCTCCCGCTGTCCCACACAGGAGAGGATTCGAGGCCTCCGGTGTCCATTACTGACCTCCGAGGAACCAGCCCACAGCCCAGCAAGGCACACCCACAAGGGAACTCACGGGCCCTCTCCCTCTCTTGCACACCTTGCAGCCTAGCCCCCACCCCTTCCAACATTTGCTTTCCCTAATCCACGGAGAAGGGTTTCCTGAGTGACTAGCCCAGCCCGGTGCTAGACCCAGTTGGGAGTTCAAGAAGAAACCACGCCGCCTCTTGCCCTCAGGGAGCTCAGTCTGCTTCTGTGCACTTGCACACGCCCATCTGCACACACACACACACACACACGAAAGAAACGAGTTGTGATTAGACAGCACACAGTCCTGGAGGGTGACACGGTGTATTAACATGGGTACGGCTCACAGAAGGAAGGTGCACAGGGGTTACACGGACCGGAAATCTCAGCTTCCCCTGTAGGTAAAGAGGGCTTGAGGGGCGGGGGAAGGAAAGGGGGCTTCCCAGAGCAACACGTGGGGGCGGGGGGCACAAATGGGGGGCAGGGCACAGTTAGGACATGGAGGAGACTGCTGGACCAGTAGCAGAGAAGGGATGTGTTCTGAGGTTTCCTCTAGATTAGCCAAAGATCAATGCTGAATGCAAGTTTTAGGGGCACAAAGTGCCTCCCCTGTCTCTGGCCTCCCTCGGCAACCCCAGGACGATCGATGGTGGGGGCAAACCTCCTGGGTAACAGGAGCAGAAAGACCACAGGGCAGGAATCCACAGGCTTCCATCCCATTCCCAGGGGTCCCACCTCTCCCAAGGGGCACTTTTTTCAGGGGCGGTGTGCACTCTTGTGCTCCCAACTAACACACGCAGGTGTGCAGCCTGCTACCCACCCCTAAACGTGAGGATGCACCGCTCACTGCCCGCCTTACCCACACTCCAGAGCAGAGCTCTGGACCTCTTCCTCCCCGCTCTTCCCGCTGGACACCTGCCTGGGGCTGGGGTGGACACAGACCAGACTCGGGCTTCCACCAGCCTCTCAGCAGTCTGGTCTCCCCAGCCCCTGGAGACCTCAGTGAAATCGGAGCCAACGCCCAAGCACAAAGCACCATTGTGAAAACCAGCTGGCTTCCAGGAAGGACGAGAAACACAGAATTAACCCGGGAGACCTGCTCCCCACACTGCAGTGTCAGGAAAGAGAAACTCGATTCCAGAAATCTAATCACCGTTGGGGTGGGAGAAGGGATTGACTGAAAGGGCTTCCAACTCAGAATTCTTTATTCCCAAACAAGGGAAGGAGTCTGGGGGGGTGGGGGGGAGAAACACTATTTGTATGGAACCCTAGATGGGGGGGAGGGTTCTATGAACGCCAGGTGAGGAAAGCTGAGGCCCACAGGGCTGGGAGTTGGGAGTAGTTGCCTGGGATTGTTAAGTCCACGTGAGGACGTGTGTTCTCAAGAGAAGTCCAAGGCTTCCTCAGATTTGCTAAGGGCGGCCCTCTCCAACACTGCAAAGAACCTTTCTGACTCAGAAAACCCACAAGTGTCCTTCATATTTGGGGGAACATTTGGTCTCTAAAGCCAGCTCTGCCACCAACTTGCTGCCCTGGCTCAAATCCGGCACTTTCCCTCTTTGAACTTCAGCCAGGCAGAAGCAGAGAAGCCAGCTCTCTACACAGGTGCTGTCCCTGGTGCCTCGGGGAGAGCTCAAGTCCAAGGTCAGGCAGCCATGCGTGTAGACCTGCCCAGGCCAAACTAGGCCTGTCTTCCCACAGGGACGTGCAATGGGCCTCTAATGCCAGGCTCCGTTGGGTCCTCTCTACAGGTCACTGCAGGGCACTTCCGAGGTAGGTCTTCTTAGGACGTGTTCTCAGACCTAGGGGCAGTGCCAGCCATGTTTCCAACATCATGACATCTCTGTGCCCAGATGTGCCCTGCACCTTGTGGGTCCTGAAGTCCTGTCCACTTCACATCTGTTCAGAAAAACAAAGAGATCAGAGGGGAATCTTATTCTGGGACACAGCCCTATACACCCACTCTGCTGAGCTGCTCCAGCCAGACACGTCTGGGGCTTTGAGCAAGCCTACTTAGTCCCCTACGAACCACTGCCAGGATCATTAATTCTATTTACAGACAAGACTCTTTGGGTTCAGGGCAAGTGGGTAACAAGCTCCAGATGTCCCAGCGCCTTGTTTAATGTTCTTCAATCAAATACTAGTTCTCAATGCAACTGCCAGAAGGACAGAAAGCAGAGAGTAACAGATCCCTGAGGAGCCACACTGAAGAAAGAATAGAGCCAGGCACCAGTGGCTCACGCCTGTAATCCTAGCTACTCAGGAGAGTGAGATCTGAGGATCAGCAGTTCAAAGCCAGCCCGGATAGGAGAGTCTGTTAGACTCCTAACCTCCAATAAATCCCTTAAAAAGCCAGAAGTAAAACTGTAGCTCAAATGGTAGAACCTCGAGCAAAAGAAAAACCAACAAAACTCATGGACATTGCCCAGGCCCCTGAGTTCAAGCCTCAGGACTCACAAAAAAAAAAAAATCAAGCAGAGGGAAAGATTGGTCCCCTGCATTTGGCAGCAGCCTGACAGGCAGCAGAGAGATCTGGGAGCAAAGGTCTTTTTGGAGCCCTCAGCACCCTCCCTCCATGTCCCCAGGGGCCTGTCTCCCCCATCACAGACAGCACGTGGCACCAGCCACACGGCTGAATCCTTCCAGCTCCACCTGCCACGGTTTAGCCATTCCATTGAAAGCTCTAGGAGTACTGGGTAAAAACCAAGGCCCAGGCCCCCCTCACTATCACACTAAGTGCAACTCTGACTGCGGGCAGGCGAGGGCATGCCTCTGCTCCTGGCTTTGGCGTGCCACCGTGCCAACAGAGGCCCTCGAGCTCAAGTCCGCTGCAGGAGCTTGGCCAAGCGTCTTTGCTACCACAGCACCCAGCGCTCCAGGGCGATTCAGGGAAACCTCAGGGAGGAGGGAGAATCTCCATCCTTATGCTCCACTTAGAGAGGAGCAACCTGAGACGTGAAGTGAAATGACGTCTCCAGGTCCTGGGGCAGTGGGGTGCAGGAGGCCCAGGCCCCGGGCGGGGCAGCATGGAGAGGCTGAGGGTGGGGCTGTGCTCTCTCCTCGTTCCTGCAATTTTAACAACATTCTGGGAATGAAGGTCCGGGAAGCGGGTCGTTCTAAACAGGGCTCCAGCCCTGGCACTGACCACAGGGTCCCCTGACACCGCTGACCTGTGTCCCACACCCCCCCCCCCAAAAAAAAGCTTGAGGGGGCATCTGACCAGCTCACCGGTCTCACCTGCTTTGTAGGCCGCACGAGTCCAACGCTGGAGCCCAAAGCCGCGGCGTGCTGCCGGCCAGAGGATCTGCGGGGGAAGGCCCGAGCCACACCCCAGCACCCCACGTCTGGCTCTCCCCCTCTCCCAGAAGCCCACCCCCCCAGGCGACCGCAGCCCAGCGCCTGTCCCCAAGGCCTCGGGCCGGTGCCGACGGGGCGGCGGCCCGCAGGCGTGCCTCACAGCACGCGGCCTAGGTGGGGCGCCTGGGCCTCGGGCCCGTGGCCGTGGCTGCGCTGGTGGGTCTTGAGCGAGCCCTCGCGCGCGAAGCTCTTGCCGCACCGCGGGCAGAAGTAGGGCCGCCGCTCCCCGAAGACGCCGGGCCGGCGCGGGTGCGGCGCGGGCATGCGCGCGTGCGTGCGCTGGTGGTTGAGCAGGAAGCGCGGCTCGCGGAAGCAGCGGCCGCACTGCGCGCACTGGTGCGGCTTCTCGCCGCTGTGGATGCGCCGGTGCGTGAGCAGGTTCTGCTTGAGGCTGAAGCAGCGGCCGCACTCCGGGCAGGGGAAGGGCCGCTCGCCGGTGTGCGTGCGCTGGTGCACCTCCAGGTTGTGCTTCACGCTGAAGGCCTTGCCGCACTCGGGGCACACGAAGGCGGCCGCGCGGCCCGCCCCGGCGTGCGCCTTCTGGTGCCGCACCAGGCTGGGCTGCTGCGAGAAGGTCTGGCCGCACAGCGGGCAGCGGTGCGGCGGCTCCTCGGCGGGCTGGTGGATGACCAGGCCCGGCTCCTCCCCGGGGCCCTCCTCCCCGTCCCCGAGCGGGGACCGGCCCCTGGACGACACCAGCTCGGTCATGGGCACTGCCGGCCGCAGTCACCGACCCCTGGGGAGGCAGAAGCAGAAATGGGGTCAGGTCTGGCCGGGAGAGCTGCGCCGCCCTCCGCGCCCCCTCGTGAGGGCCCGCGCGGAGCCTCACGGGAAGTCACCTGTGTCACTCGGTCACCGACCGCGACAGCAGAGGACCCCGGGGCTCGGAGGCCGCGTCCTGAGCCGCCCGCCCCCCCACTCCCCGGGCTCTGGGGTCCCTTCACCGGCCTCCGTGGTGGCACCGCCTCCCCGAACCTCCGCGATGGCCCCACCGTTTGTTCCCGCTCTCTGCGCGCTCTCTGCGCGCCTGCGTCTCCGGGGAGGGCGGGTCGCCCCCACCCCCACCCAAAGTCAGCTGCTGAAACCACGTGGCGGCCTCCCTTCGGCGAACCTTACATGCGATGCCAAAGCCTGGGAGGGGATCGTGTCCGGGGTCGCTGGATGTCCTCCTCCCCCTCCCCGAGGGCCAGTCTGCTCCCCACCACCCCTTCCCCAGACCCAAGCTGCTGAAAGCCAAAGGAACCCCGCCTCAGATCTCTTGCCTGTCCCATGGCTGGCTTTGCATCTGCCATACCGTCTCCTCTCTGGCGAATGACTTCCATCTACAGGCCCTGTGTGTCTGTCTTCCCTGATGTGGTACCACACCAGAGATCCCCTACGTCTTTTTGGCTAGTCTGTTCTCCTTTCAGGGATGCTTGACTCGAGAATTCGAATCTACATCCTTACAGAGCCCCCTACATCCTCACCAGACGGCCTTATAGGACAGACATCAGTCTCAATGGCCCAACCCTTCTTCGGCTTGTGCCCTGGAGACCGAGACACAGGCTGGGTCCCAAGGACCCCACCTAGGTTCCCTCCTTCAGGCTAGTCATTCTGGGCTTGAAACCAAATCTAAAATCAAAAGAAACATCCACTTAGAAATTTGGCCTCAGTATCAAATGGACAATCACAAAATTAAAGAACTTAACCACTTAGAAATTTGGCCTCAGTATCAATTGGACAATCACAAAATTAAAGAACCTAACCACTTAGAAATTTGGCTTCAGTACCAATTGGATAATTGCAATCGCTGACCTGAATATAGCACTCTGGACCCCACAATATTGCAAGATTTGGACAATTTCTGTCAATGCAATGGTGAATGGTCAGAGGTTCCATACGTTCAGGTTTTCTTTGTTCTCCGTGCTCATCTTTCTGTCTCTTTAAACAAACTCCCTCTGTCAACCTTCATTTCTGCCTCCCAGCCATCTCCTCTAGAAAGGTAACTTGTCGTGTCTTGTAGTAGTTCAGTCTCTCTCTCTCTCTAGTGTGCCCTTCTTTTCTGCTTGTCTGTCTCCTTGCTTGCTCAGTAAAGCTCTGCCAAGTTTTCTGCCATCTTGGCCACATGGTGGGTTAAGAGTATAGCCTCACCCTTCCTTCAACCAAACTTACTCCTCCACCCATCCAGCAACTATGCAACAGTCAATTCATATACTAATGTGCCCTGCTAACTAAGTTGCCATCTCTCTTAATAGGCCCTGGAAACTGAGCCCCCCTCAGTGGTTTGCTAGCAAAAATGTCTAAACATATTCTGTTCTTGGCTATTTAGGTCTTGGTTATCTGTAAGAGATTCTGTTTGTTGTCAAAAGTTTTGTGTCTTGAGTTTTCCCTTGCATTTTTTTTTTGGTTTGCCTGTTTTTCTAGCACTGATTTACTGGAATTACAGAAAACTTACAGCTGATTTAAAAAACAAAAACAAAAAACCACCTAAGTGTGCTTAAAACTTTTGTGCACAAGTATGTGTGTGTGTGTGTGTGTGAGAGAGAGAGAGAGAAAGAGAGAGACCATGTTTAATATAACCTCATTTTAATGCATTAAAAACTATCATATTCTGGGCAACGGTAACTCACACCTATAAGTCTAGCTACCCAGGAGGCTGAGATCTGAGGATCGTAGTTCAAAGCCAGTCTGGGCCGGAAAGTCCATCAGACTCTCATCTCCTATAAACGACCAGAAAAACGGCAGTGGCACTGTGGCTCAAGCGGTAGAGTGCTGGCCTTGAGCTGAAGAGCTGAGGGACAGTGCCCAAGCCCAGAGTTCAAGCCCCATGACCAACAAAAAAAAGGGGGAAGGGGAGTTAGTAGAGAGTGGCTTTGGAAAGGGAATTAAAAATGGCTTCCTTTGGGGGCTGGGAAGATGACTCAGAGGTAGAGCGCTTGCCTTGCATGCATGAGGCCCTGGGTTCGATTCCTCAGCACCACATAGCAAAAAGAAAAAAGCCAGAAGTGGCACTGTGGCTCAAGTGGTAGAGCGCTAGCCTTGAGCTGAAGAGCTGAGGGACAGCGCCCAGGCCCAGAGTTCAGGCCCCATGACCAGACCTCCCCCCCCCAAAAAAAGGCTTCCTTTGGGTAAAAAGAATTTGGGAAGTAAGAATTGTTCTAAATGTTTGTTTCAAAATGGACAGAAGAGAAAATTAAGACTATCAAAGTTCACTTAAGTATCTGTTTATGTCAAGGTCTTTCAAATGAACACTTTTTGACTCAAATGCTATTTTTCACAGTCTAATGTCTGTTTCCCAAGGATGTTAGCTACTTTGGATACAGAGCCATTTTTCTGCATTTGTCATTGTAAACACAAAGGTGTGACTTAGTAACAATGATTATAATTAGTGTCCTAAAGTACTATATTCAGTTAAAAATTAAGAAATACGATTGATTATATCAGCTGTTATTTCAAAACTCAATATTAGACAGTTTTGTCATTACAGATTTAGTCATACCCACAGAGGCATAAATAACTCTTACAAATATTTATTGGTCAAACTTAACTTCTTCTATTCTTGACAAGTTCCTGATAAGCCCTGCTTAAAAACTATTTCTCTTGATCTTGTTGCTTCAATTGGAAATGAAAAGGGTCTCTAGGCATCAACTCTCTTTGGATGAAGTCTGAAAGAATCAGATACCCCTGGGACGAAACTTGTCCTAGAGTCCATCCAGAGGCAGTTGGAAAAACTGTACAGACAAGATGGAATGGTATCAGATCCTAAATGGAGTCATTTTGTGTTTTGATTAACCAGAAATCAAAAGAAAATAGTTATTAAGCATGCCTATCTAATATCCATACCTAACTTCCAACTGGATGGGACCTTACATTCTTGCCTTTGCTACCTGCTATTTATATTTATAGTGAGTCTTAGACTCAGGATAGTTTGCCTTGGCACATACAGTCCAGACATCCAGAGTCCATCTACCTCAAGGGCTCTCACTGGTCCCAGCTTCTGACTGGTTATTCTTAACCAGTCCACCATGCTCTTCCCTACCCAGTCACCAGATGTTAGCCAGTCAGGAGTAGTTCGTTATGGATATGATCCACCAACTCCAGGACCACCTGGAATACAGGAGATAGGAACTAGCCAAAGCATCCTTTTTCAATCTTTTTCTTTTCGGCCCTGCATGGATAGCTGCCCTTCCTTCTGCCATTTGTGTGTCCTCTAATCTTTCTTTTGTTATTGTTCAGCCCCTATCTCATGAGACTTCTTTCAGACTTCATCCAAAGAGACATACATATGACCTGTTACAGCTGCCTTCTCCCAGATCTGACAACATCTCTGCCTTTTACCCCTGGAACCCAGGCCCCTTGGCAGCAGGAGAGCAAATGAACGCCCCCTTTATAACTATCAAAAGGCTGGAATGTTAGGTCTGCCAGAAGAATAGCGCCCTCAGCCCTCCTCTTTATGAAGGATAGAAGATAGTCTTACAAGAAATCACCTGCCACAAACTAGTAACCACCTGTAACAGAACCACCTGACTGTGAGTCAGCAGAGGACCCCAGGCTCTGAGGTCACTGCCTCATTCTTTGAGGTCACTTCCTGAACTGCCCCAGTCACGCCTCCTTCCGACAGTGAGAAGGTTCCCCAGGCTCTGAGATCACTTCAGCATCCACTCCACCTTTTCCTATGCAATCTTTCCACCATTAGTTCTTGCTATCTGCACGCCTCCATCTCGTGCAGGCCAGCAGTTTGCTCTCCCCCAAATAAACTCTTTTCTGCCTGAACCACCTGGTGGTTCTCTTTCAGCAAACATTACTGGAATGAGCCAACCCCTAAGTGGAGGGGTCACTCTACTCCCACAATGTCCAGCACTCACCCTTCTAGAACAGTGTTAAGCCAGTGCTTTCTCCTCTACCTGTTTGTCACAGCCTGCCTTTCTCATGAGCACCTCTCCATAATCATCTCCTCCAAGAGGCCTCTCCTGACCTCTGCAGCCTCTCCTTGAACCATGCTGCTCACCCTTGACCTCACTTGCTGCCCTAAATTGAGGGACATCACAGGCCTCTGTCCTGTCCCCCAGCTCAAGGACACAGCTACCTTCTTATAACTTGGACATCAACCCTCCCAGCCCCCAGATAAATGCTGCAGGGGAATATGGCCCGTCTTCACCTGGCTCCGTTCCATCTCTCCAAACAGATTCCCAAGGAGGAAGTAAAGGAGGTACACTCCAAACTGGCACCCAAACCATTCCTACAAAGCTTAACGCAGGAAACAAACAAAATCTCTGGAAACTTGAAAGTGACCTCAATAGGTTAACTATTAAGGCTGTGCCTCTTCATTTATGAAAATGAAGCAAGGGCTGGTTGCAAGTCACTGATCTGGAGCTTGAGCTCACAGGGCCTGGGTTTCAGCTAGATTCCTCTGGGTCACCCCCCTGCAAAGCCTGGGCCAAAGGGCTGAGCAATGCATTCCATGTTCAACAAACATCCCCAGCACCTGCTCCCTCTACACCACCCTGGAGACCCCTCCCTAGACCTCCCTGCTCCCCTGAAAGGGTTTTATCCTCATAGGGGCCCATTTTATATATGGGATAATTGAGGCTGGGAAGGTCATCAAACAAGGTCACCCAGCAAGGTGAGCCAGGCCTAGGCCCTAAGTCTCCCAATTCACTGTGGAAAGCTGATTTCAATATACCAGCTGTTCTGCAACTCAACACCCTTCAACACACACATACACGCACACATGCACACATGCACACATACACACACGCACACCAGCCCAGCCACTGCAGACCCATCCGTTCCCAAAGGGCCACTGCTGTTGTAGGGACATTCCCATGACCTCTGCCAACTGCTGCAGACCCAGGGGGCGGCTCCGCGCGTCCCACGTCCCCAGCTCCTCGGGGTCCTCCCAGGACCACCCTTGCAGGCCCGCCACACTTTCAGCTCAATGTGGGGTCTCAAAGGCACCTCGTGTCTTCCTCTACCGCGGCCGGGGCAGAGCGGGCGCTGACCCTGGGGAAGGAAGGGGACGGGGACCGCTGGCCACAGTCCCCACCCACAGGTCTGTCCCCGGGCGGGCAGCTGCCCTGACATTTGCAGCCACAAACCCTCGAAGTCCCCTCGGCCAATCTCGGCCTGGCCGGGGCCCCCTCCGCACTCCAGGCCCCGCCCGCCCGAGGGTCCGCGGCCCCCGTCCTCCCCGAGTTCCTCCGGCCGCACTCACAGCCCCGGCGGCGCCCGGCTCCTCCCGGTCTCCGGCGGTGGCTTTTTCCTCCAGAGGCTGCGCCGCCCGAGGCAAATACGGTAACTCTCCCGCAGCGCCTCCCGCGCCCCTTCGGCCCCGGCCCCGCCAAGCCGACCCCGCGAAGCCGGCCGGCCTCCGCCGCCGGGCTCTGGCCAAACACGCTCCGACCGGACCGCGCTCACGCGAGCGCCGCACCGCACCGCACACCCCGCCAACTCTCGGGACCACTGCGACCCCAGAGAAATATGGTAAAGCGCGCGCCGCAACCCCACCCCCAGGGAAATACGTGGGGGGGCCCGAGCCCCCACCCACCCTGCCCTGCGAACAGACGCGAGCTGCTCCGCACGCCCGCACGCGGACCGCGCGACCCCGCCTAGACGGGCGATCCCGTCCCCGCAGCGCCCCTCCCAGAAGGGCCGCGCGCGCCTCCCGCAATTACGGTAGCGCCCTCCCGCAGTGACCGCCCCGGGCTCCCGCGCGGGCCTCGGTAAATACGGTAACGGCCCCGGGCCCGGCCCGGCCCCGCGCGGACTCACGTGGCGCCGCCTCCCGAGCCCGGATCCGATCCGCCGCAGCCGCCGTCGCCGGCGTCGCCGCAGCCGCACAGCAGCCCCGTGAGGCCGGGAGGTCTAACTCGCCCATAGCTTGGCTGGCGGAGGACGGGAGGCCGCGCGCGGAGCGCGGGGCCCGCCCGGGCCGGGGACGCGGCGCGCATCCCGGGGTCCGGGGACGCATCCCGGCGCGCCCGGGGGCCCGGCCGAGCCCCTCCCCGCGGCCCCAGCTCCTGCGGGGCGGCTGGACGAGCGCCGTCCCCGCCTCCCTCCCTTCCCAGGCGGGAGCAGCCCCGGCGCTGCCCGGGCGGCGGGCGGGGAGGACGGAGGCGGGGAGCGCGCGGCGCCGCCGGGCCCGGCACCCCGGCCCGGAGCGCAGGCAGAGGGCGGAATCCGAGCCGGGCCTTCCTCGCCGGCCTTGGCAGAGCCCGCCCTCCTGTACGGCCGGCACCGGCCACCAGGTGGACCAGGGAGCGGGGGGGGGGGGGGGGGGCCACACCCGTAACCCCGCTCTGCAGAGCTGGGGTCGAGCCCAGGAGACCCGAAGTTGCAGGTGAAGCCCACGGAAGCCGTGGGTGCGAGGGGCGGCTCCGGGCCCCAGTTCCCCCAACCTGTGTCTACCTCTGACTTGTTTCACAGCTCGTTTCCCATGAGCTAGCCCGTGGGAACGTGCGGTAACCTGTGCAGTCTAGGTTGCACGGTGTCATTATATATTTTATAGGTCAAACATTAAGAAACAAAAAGGTGTCTGCATGCCTGTAATCCCAGCACGGAGGAGACTGAGACAGGAGGACGGTGAGTTTTAGGACAGAGCCTGGGTTATACCAAGAAGGTGTGTGTGTGTGTGTGTGTGTGTGTGTGTGTGTGTGTGTGTGTGTGTGTGTGTGTGTGTGTGTAAAAAATGGCTTCCTGCACAAGACCCAGATTGAGGTGAGCAGATTCCAAGTGATAAAGTTCCTCCCAATTCACAGTTGACTGGAAAAATGATTTCAAATTACAAGTGGAGCCAGGTACCATAGGCTCAAACTCCTCAATCCTGGGATATGAGGACCGTGGTTCAAAGCCAGCCCAGGCAGAAAAGCCCATGAGACTCTTACCTCCAATAAACTACTCAGAAAGAGCAAGACGTGGCTCTGTGGCTGAAGTGGTAGAGGACTAGCCTTGAGCACAAGGATGCTCAGGGTCATCACCCAGGCTCTGAGTTCAACCCCACTCCCCACCCGCAAATAAAATTACAAATGGGCATCAGGCATGGTGGTACATGCCTGCAATCCCAGCTTTCAGGAAGCTGAGGCAGGAAGATTGAGTTGGAGACTGATCCGAGACACTGTCAGAGACAGATGATGGAGACAGATGATAGACAGGTAAAGTTACCAGCAGCAGAGGAACATTAAAAAGCTTTCTCTCTGCGAATAGCTGCCAGGTGAAGGGAGTAGCTGGGATTTCCCAGGCTACTTGGGTTAGAGGCACACAGGGCTGCTCCACATGCAGGCTTTGGGAGACTAGAGCCTCTTGGTACCATGGATTTCCCCTGTGGCTCTACAAGTGCCTGTTGTGTCTTTTGGGTCTGGGGAACTGAAGAATTTGGGGAGGGGCATAAGGAAGCTGGGCCTGGAGGCCAAGCTGCCTTGCTTCCCCAACTCTCCCAGGGAGCTCATCCAGGCCCATCCCAGGCTCTGAGGACCCAAGCTACCCCCAGCTGTCCTCACAGCACTTCAGTGAGGTTCTTGGGCCCCTGGATCCCCTCCAAGAGACATTGGTATCTTAAACAGGAACAAAAGGAAGGGGGCTTGGGAAGCAGAGCTGATTTTACCCCTCAAATAGTGGAGCGTTCCTTCAGCAGGGACAGGACAAGACAGCAGGACCTCCTGAGCTCGTGCCCACCCCTCTGATCCTGGGACAGCCCCTCCTCCCAGCTCTCCACATCCCAGCTTAGACACCGTCACTTACAAGAACTAGTTTTTTTTTTATGTCTTCTGCAGGCCACAAGAGAAATGGAGACACTTAGTGAAGACAGGTTTTTAAAAGTAAATTCGGAAGTATATACACCTTAAAAATGGCACCCATATTTTTGGCAGCATTTTCTAGTCAAGCTGAACCAAAAAAAGAAAAAGCTAAGAGGGTTGAAGCCCTGGGCATTGAAGGAGAAAGCCAAGAGAGCAGGCTTAATCCTGATTCCATTTGCTTCTTGCTTTACATCCATGCACACAGCCCATCCCCACAACAGGAAGGTAATGTGGCAATATTCTGCAGACATAGCCACACTTCTTCATCCAGGTAGGACAGTGGCCCACGTGTGACCCCTGCCATCCTGCGAGGCCCACGTGGCAGCTGGAAGCTGGCCTGGCTCCCTCCCTTGTAGTTAGAAAGTATGGCACAGATAGTCCAGTCTGGGATCTGTGTTCCTACCCTGGGTCCCCCTGGGACAGCTCTAACCACTGCTGGTCCTCCCCCCAGCTCCTCCCACACAAGACTCCGTCCCCTGGACTTCTGCACACAGCTGGCCAATACCCCATCCACAGTCATAGGACAGGTGTCCCTGATGAACCTTGTCCCCAAAGCATCTGGTGATAGACCTCAAATCTGTAGGCCGTTTCCGTCCAGTGTGCATGTGGAAGCAGCCATGTCTCCAGGGTATAGCCCTGAGAGGTCCCAGTCCGTGTCTGTCAGGTGAATGGGTGTGTGTGGAAGCTCCAGCTGACACCATGTGAGCAGCCACGGAGGAAAGGCTCCAAGGCTGAGCAGTGTGCTAATTACACATTAACAACAACAAAAATGAATTGTGGGCTGAGCTCCAAGCCCAGCCACAATTTTGAGAGCTGGAAGAAGCTACCGAGACCTGGATGAAGATTTGAAGTCTTATCTACTCTGAAGTTCTCTTTCCTTAGAATCAAAACCTAAGTGTGATCTATGACATCAGTTCTGCTGAACCCTTAAATGTGCAACAGGATTATAGACTATGTCTATCATCCTAGCTACTTGGGAGACCGAGATCTGAGGATCACAGTTCAAAGCTAGCCAAGGCAGGACAGTCCAGGAGACTGATCTCCAAGTAATCACCAAAACCCCAGAAGTGAGGTGTGGCTCAAATGGTAGAACACCAGCCTTGAGAGAAAAAAAAGGGTCCCAGGCTCTGAGTTCAAGTCCCAGTACAGACACCAAAACAATAAAAAGAAAAAACAGTGCAGAAGGCCTACTACACTATAGTAGTGATTTGTTCCTCAGGGAGACTGGGAAAAATGGGAAAACCCTTTCCCTGACTTTCCATAAGTGCACATGATCTAAAAGCTGCCACACGTAGCGTTTTAAAATAATTATTAGTACCATTTCCTCAATGCTTGCTGAGTGCCTGGGATTGTATACTGCATGCTTTAGTTTATGTAAATCACTTTCCAAGGTCCCATAAATTAAACAGACTGGATTTAATCCCATAATAGCCTCTACCCAGTATTCCCCAAAATAAACAAACCCCCAAAGTTCTTTCTAAATTTGGGCAGTAGGGAGAGGAGGAGGAGACCAGTTTAGCACCATTCCCAGGAATATACTATCCAAGGGCTGTGTGCAACTATTTATTACAACTAAACAAGCTAAAATTCCATTTCGCTGCCTTCTTTTACATGTTCAGTAGCCATATGTGGCTAGTGGCTGTCAGATATGGAATATTTCAACATGGCAAAACGTGCTACTGGACAGCACTGGCCTAGATACTGCCCCTCCATACCCAGGCAGCCCAGAACCAGGCCCTCTGTAGTCTAAGGAACACCATTGACCTCCCTCTCTGCCCTGCCCATGTCTGCACTCAGAAACAAGTGGTACAAGACCACATACAATTTTTAGCTCCAATACTCCTACCAGAAGGTCAAAGTATTTCTTTGCCAAATTCAAACCATGTTTGAAATGTTTCTGAAGCACCTCTACCAGATCCCCTGCTAAGACCCTGCTGGGCACTGGACCTGCCTGCTCCTTGACAAGGTACGCTTGTGGCCGCTGAGCAATTGCTTCTCTGGCCTTGTCAGGCCCCTCCTCATGGCACCAGCAAGCCCTGAGCCTGGGTGCTCAATACCAGATCATCCCCAAGAGCCTGAGCACCTCACATGTGGACTTAACACTCACACTGCCTGGCAGAGGACAGCCACTGTTCAAGTAGTCTTTGTCTAGGTCATGTTCCTTAGCAACCAGACCAGGAACCCCAGCCCCACCCAGCTCATGTGGGTTTGGTTGCAAGCTTGGCCATAGGTCCCCACTGCAAACCTGTACTCACCTGGCCGAGGACCAGACAGAAGTCCTTTGAGGTCGTCACTTTCTTCCACATGGTTGACTGTGCTCCCCTCTGGACCCCTTCATCTCTGCAAGGCTGCACAGGATCGTGGATCATAAATGACAAGTCTGACTTTCTTGTGTTTGGTTTTATGATTTGTCTCTTTGCAATATTTTCTGACCTAGTTTTATGGCTTTGAAATAAAAGGCAATGGAAGTTGCAATGGACAATAACTCGACATTTTTGGAGAAGTCTGTGTTTGTAGCAGTGGATATGGATTAAGATAGCGGGAAGCCTGGGACCTGCTTCCAGTCTGTGCCACAATCTGTGGACAAGCCACAGCCCCTTTTCCAGTGGGTACAATAGTCTGTCTACAGTACTAACCACACAGACTAAATAAGGTAAAGAAAGCCTTGTTAATAAGGCTGGGGCTGGTGATGATTTGCCCAAGAGTTGACCATATAGATTACACCAAATAGTGCATGGTATCAGAATAATTTTCTGTGAAGGTTCTTGAACAAGGGTAAAGACTATGTCTTTTTCATTCCAGGAGTCTGGTATCCTCAGAACCATGAACCTCAGATCTCAGCCTCCTGAGTAATTAGGTTTACGGGCATGAGCCCAGCTGGCTCCATGTACCCTTTTGTAATATGACCATGGCCAGAGGTTTTCCCAAGATGAAGAGATGTACACTAGATCTGGAGAGAGGAGTAACCAGAACCAGACTTATCCCTCTAGAACCATGCTGGACCCCTCCTTCCCATCTCCTAGCTACCCAACCCAGGCTCCTCAATCCCCATCCTCATCCTCTGTAACTCCCTCCCCTCTGGGAAGTTTCCATCTCAGGCTCAGGCAGCACCAGGAGTAGGACCTCAGTGAAGCCGGCTGTGGAAGGGTGAGCAGCGATCTCTGGGAGGGAAAAGGCTCCTGGCACAAACTGGGGAAGAGACTTGAAGGGGAGGAGAGCAAAAGACCATCCACGCCAAGGAAGTGGGGGTGAGGAATTGCTGTGTGCATGACAAAGGCTCCCTGCCCTAGTCTGGCGTGAATACATCCCTGGGAGTACACACACACACCAGGCTTCAGCAATGGTGGCTCAGAAAGGACACTGTGACACCACGTGGAACATTCAGTCCTTCATTTTTCTTTCACAATACCAGGATGGGTAAAGATCCAAGTCAGCCACAGCCCCCCACTCCCTTGAGGCCAGCGAAAGCAGTGGCGACCGCTCTGTCCTGCCCAGCCACCTCCCAGAGCAGACACGCTTCCACTGAGACCACCAGTCTGCACCCCGGAACCATTACACCCAGGCCCGTTCTAGGCCCTCCCCATCGTACCCCGCACCCTGGGCGGCGGTGCGCTCGGGATTGGGCACGGACCAGCAAACCGGGCAGCCCTTCCAGAAGTGGTTGCTGGGTGGCCGGTTAGTGCTGGCACTGTCCGTGGTGCTGGGGACGTGCTCTCCCTCCCTGGAGGCCGCCCTGCTCTTCCCACGGAACCGTCTGTCACCACCATGGGGACGCCCCGGCCACCCTGCAGCCCCGTGTGGCAGGCCGATGCCGCAGCTGGCTTATTCCACACCAGGAGCCTCTCCGAGGCCCCCCAACAGCCCTTCACTCCGCACCTGAAATGTGAGGATCTCCTGAGGTGTACAGAGGGGCCCGGCGCACCCCAGACGCATCCAGTGCTGATCTAACCTTCCTCAGCACCCACCCCAGATGCCACCCGCGATGCTTCTGGAACTTTGACCCTTTTGATAGGGTCTCGCTCAAGGCGTGCTGAGAGCCAACGTTTCAGGCCATCCTCGGTCCCCCTACACACCACGCACGCGCACGCGCATCCCCGTGGTCAGTCAGGCAGGACCCGCATGCGCAGGCACATCTCCCGTGGTCAAGCAGGCCGGACGCGCATGCGCACTACGGCGCCTCCTCGGCCGGGCGGGGCCGGGGCGCGGCCGCCACGCGGTGCACGCGCTGGTGCTTGAGCAGGTGCTGCTTCTGGCGGAAGCCGCGGCCGCAGGCGGCGCACAGGTAGGGCCGCTCGCCGGTGTGGTTGCGCCGGTGCCGGGTGAGGTTGGGCTTCTGGCTGAAGCGGCGGCCGCACTCGGGGCAGGCATAGGGCCGCTCGCCGGTGTGGATGCGCCGGTGGATGGTGAGCGCCGACCACCACGAGAAGCTCTTGCCGCACTCGGTGCAGATGAACTGGCGCTGCTCGCCGGGCCCCGCCAGGCCGCCGCGGCCCGGGCTCCACAGGCCTCCCGCCGCCCCGGGGGGCCGCTGGGGACCGCGGGGCGGGGTGGCCGAGTCTCGGGGCGCCTCGGGCCTGGGGGCCGGCGGCCTGGCGCCGGCGTGAGCGCGCGGACGGGCCCCGGGCAGGTGCGTGCGCTGGTGCTTGAGCAGGTGCTGCTTCTGGCGGAAGCCGCGGCCGCAGGCGGCGCACAGGTGCGGCCGCTCGCCGGTGTGGTTGCGCAGGTGGCGCGTGAGGTTGGGCTTCTGGCTGAAGCGGCGGCCGCACTCGGGGCAGGCGTAGGGCCGCTCGCCGGTGTGGCTGCGCCGGTGGATGCTCAGCGACGACCACCACGAGAAGCTCTTGCCGCACTCGGTGCAGATGAACTGGCGCTGCTCGCCCGCCGCCCCGGAGCGGCCCTGCGCCGCGCCCCGGGCCCCCGGCTGCCCCCACAGGTCCTGGCAGAGCCCCAGCCAGGCCCAGTCGGGGGGACCCCGCGGGGCCCCCGAGCGCGGGGCCCGGGCGCCCTGGCGGCCGCGGGCGTGCGCGCGCTGGTGGATGCGGAGGCCCACCTGGTGGCGGAAGCAGCGCTGGCACTCGGGACACGGGTGGGTGGCGGGCCGGGCGTGCGTCTTCTGGTGCTTGAGCAGGTGCTGCTTCTGGCTGAAGCGCCGTGCGCACTCCGGGCAGCAGAAGGGCCGCTCGCCCGTGTGGTGCCGCTGGTGGCGCGCCAGGTTGGGCTTCTGGCTGAAGCGCTTGCCGCACTTGCCGCAGAGGTAGGGCTTCTCCCCGGTGTGGGTGCGCTGGTGGATCTTCAGGGACGACCACCAGCCGAACCTCTTCCCGCAGTCCACGCACACGAAGTGACCCTCGCCGGCAGCCAGCGCGGGGCTCAGGGGCGGGGCTCGGCCTGCCAGCCGGGCGTGCTGCTGCTGCTCAGGCGCGGCCCACCGCGGCCCCCCAGTCTCCGGGGTCCACAGAGCTCCAGGCTGCCCCATGCCCTGGCATGGCCGGAGGCCGCGGTGCTGCTGGAAAATGTTCTCCTTGTCCTTCTCCGCAAGCCCGGCCTGCGGGGCCGGCGTCTGCAGCAGCCTCTCCGGCTTCTCCTGCTTGATCATCACCGGCTCATCTCCTGCCAGAGGCAAAGCGAGAGGACCGGGGAGGTCACTGGCTGCCCGGCGGGGTGGAGGGAAAGAGCAGCACCCGGAAGGGCAGCGAAGAGCTGCAAAGAATGAAGGCAGAGAGATTTATATGGAGGGAAGGATCTGGGGAGGCGATGGGGAACAGCAGAAAGGATGTGACTAGGGACAGGATGGGGGGGGGGGATGCAATTCAGGAAAAGTAAGATACGGGGATGTTTGTGAGGCCAGGGAAATGGAGTCCCTCCAGCTCGGCCACCTGACTTCTCTTACCCAGGCCTAGGATGTGCTTTTTAGAGAAACCACCGAGTGAAGTCTCCTGACCCATGGAAAAAGGTTGGCCAATTTTCTTCTTTACTTTTTTGTTTTGTTTTGTTTGTGTGGGCCAGTACTGGAACTTGAACTCAAAGCCTGGGCACTGTTCCTTAGCGTTTCACTCAAGACTGATGCTCTACCACTTAAGCCACAGCTCCACTTCCAACATTTTGGCCATTAATTGGAGATAAGAGTCTCCAGGACTTCACTGCAAGGGCTGGCTTTGATCCATGATCCTCAGATCTCAGCCGCCTGAGTAGCTAGGATTACAGGAGTGAGCCACCAGTGCCCAGCCAAATTGGACACTTTCCTTTTTTAAAAAAATTTTGTTGTGGGCTGGGAAGGTGGCTCAGTGGTAGAGTGCTTGCCTTGCATGCTCAAGGCCCTGGGTTCGATTCCTCAGCACCACATAAGCAAAAAGAAAAAAGCCAGAAGTGGCGCTGTGGCTCAAGTGGTAGAGCACTAGCCTTGAGCTGAAGAGCTGAGGGACAGTGCCCAGACCCAGAGTTCAGGCCCCACGACCGGACCAAAAAAAAAAAAAAAAATTTGTTGTTCCTGGGCACTGGTGGCTCAAACCTGTAATCCTAGCTACTCAGGAGGGTGAAATCTGAGGATCAAGGCTCAAAGCCAGCCCAGGCAGAAATGTCTGTGAAACTCATCTCCAATAAAACACCAGAAAACCGGAAGTGTTGCTGTGACTCAAGTGGTAGAGTACTAGCCTTAAGCGGAAGAGCTGAGGGAGAGTGCCCAGGCCCAGAGTTCAAGTCCCACTACCGACAAAAAAAAAAAAAAATTATTGTAAAGGTGATGTACAGAGGGGTTACAGTTATGTAAGTCAGGTAATGAGTACATTTCCTTTTGAACAGTGTCACTCATTCCCTTGTTATTTCCCAGTTTTTCCTCTCCTGACCCGTGTAGTATCACTGCTGAATCAGTTCATACTTTGTCCCACCATTTCTGTGCTTTCCCTCCCCTCCCCAAAACAGATAGACTCATATACAAGACAAAGGGTACAGAAATCAGTGACAAAAGGGAATAAATCAAAGGGAGGAAAAAGAACCACTAAACATACTGAAACAGGTGCTCAAAAACTGCTGGAAAAAACACTGACTACTTACTTAGGCCCATGAATTAAAAGCAGGTGAACAGCTTGTCATCCCTGCGTCTTTGTCCTTTGCCCTGAGCCATTCTTTTTTGCAGGCAAATTGAAGCCATCTTGAAATCCACAAAGCAAACAGGTGAACGTGTCACCATGACACCAGTTATCAACAATTCATTGTAAGAAGGTCTGACCAGACCAACCCTGAAACAATGGGCTGAGCAACCACCTCTGATGCCACCCCACACGTGCTCATGATTGGGTTTGTTTAACTGCATACCTCACGCCCTGCCCCCCTTTGTCTATGTAAACCTATAGCTCATAGCTGACTCCTGAAAATGAAGGTGGGCTAAAATGTGTCTTCCCATGGCTGCCCATGCCATATAATAAACATCCTTTCCCTACCATTACCATGTCTCTTTCTATGGCATGTGGCGGTGATGGCCAGATCTGACTCGTGGAGTTCCTGGAGTTTGGTCTAGGTCTACAACTGCTCCACGACAGGAGCTACAGTGTGGGAATACCTCATCTGTTTGGCAGCTTCACCATTCATTAATAAAACCAAGGATGAGATTAGCCAAAAAGGCCTCAGCACAAGAAACAGGTGTTGCCTTGTCCTCAAATTCCACGCAAGTCCTTTCTCACAGGGCAACCTGCACCACCCTAGCTCACATCGCACATCCCTGATCCACAGGTCTCCAGAAGTTCTCAGAGATGCAAAAACCAAAATGAAAGTTACCTGCTCACTGAAGAATATGTGCTATATAATTCCATTTATATGCACATCAAGCTGGCAAAAATAATCTGAGTTAGCAACTAGGGAGGTGGAGACATTAAGGAGGCCTGGGTTCTGAAGGGTGGGCAGTGTTCTTTCTTGATGTGGTGCCAATCACAGAGTCTTGTGCTTCTTCACTTTGGAAGATTTTAGGGAGCCCTGAGTCTTATTTCAATAAGAGTTCACACACAAGAAAAAGTGAGTGGAATAAAACACTTGTGGACAAAGAAGAGAAATACCTCTAAGCCACAGACATCAGCATTGCAAAGGCAATAAAATAAACCCAGCCAGGTGCCAGTGGCTGATGCCTGTAATCGCAGCTGCTCAGAAGGTTGAGATCTGAGGATTCCAGGTGAAAGCTAGCCCAAGCAAGAAAGTTTATGAGACTCCTATCTCTAACCACTAAAAAGCTAAAAGTAGAGCTGTGGCTCAAGTAATAGCGTGTTAGCCTTGACCAAAAAAAAGATTATCCGGGCCCCAAATTCAGCCCCAGTACCAACACAAAAATTAACCCAAAAAAGGAAAAAAGAATAAAGATTACAGATAAAAATAAAGATTGCAAAAGAATTTTTTTTTTGTTTGAATTCAGAGCCTGTCCCTGAGCTTCTTTTGCTAAAGGCTAGGACTCTACCACTGGAGCCACAGTGCCATTCCAGCTTTTTTTTTTTTCTGTGTATATGGTGCTGAGGAATCAAACCCAGAGCTTCATGCATGCTAGGCAAGCATTCTACCACTGAGCCACATTCCTAGCCCTACAAAAGAATTTTTAAAAAAATCTATAAATTATGTCCAGATTTCACATCAACAAATTTGAATACGCAAGATAGATAATCTTGTAAGATAATATGAATCAAAATTGACTCAAGAGTAGGTAGAAAGTCTGAGTATATGAACAAAAGAGTTGAGGAAGCCAAAGTTTAACCCCAAAATAGGGTCATATGCTGACTGCATCAATAGGTTTTACCAAAAATTCAAGGGGAGGACTATGTCTAGCAATGAAATTATTACAGTAACCAGAGGAAAGGAAAGCAGAAAGGTAAGTCTATTAAATCCAGTATAGCTCTAGTGTTAAAACATAACAGGGTCAGGCAAGAAATTACAGCCTTATTGTTCGGTGAGTAGACTCAAATCTCAGCAAATCAAGTTCAGCATTTATTAATAATAGCTTACCAGGACCTTGCTGGTATTTTCCCTGGTAAAGCAAAACTGGCTTTACAAGATTCATGATATAACTTTATTAAAAGGAAAACACTGGCCAGGGACACTGCCCAGTGGTAGACCACTTGCCTAGCATGCACCTGCTCCTTCCATCCTCATCACTGGAATCAGTCAATAAATGGAAAGCCTCATAGCATTCTCAACAGGTGTGAAAAAGCCATATGATAAAAGTCAAACATTGTTTTGTGAGAAAAAGGAGGAGGAAGGGATAAAGGAAGGAATTAGCAAACCAGAAGTATAAGCAAACTTTCTAGAGTTGGCAAAAGGTATATACTAGAAATTATAGTAAACATTACAACCAAATGTGAAAGATCAGAAGACAATTAGAGTTAGGAGCAAAATAAGAATACTCATGAGGCCCAGCTTAGTGCTATAGTACCTGCCTAGGAAGTGCGAAGCCCCAGTACTGCCACACCCCAAAAAAGCCTTTTTAAATACAAACCATAAAGACCAAAATATAAAAGACATAAGAAAGGCACTGGTAGCTCATACCTGTAATCCTAGATTCTTAGGCGGCTGAGATCTGAGGATCATAGTTCGAAGCCAGCCGAGGCAAGAAGAGCATGAGACTCATCTCCAATTAGCCACCAGAAGACCAGAAATGGAGCTGTGGCTCAAAGTGGTAAAGCCAAGTAAGAAGGTGAGGCCATGAGTTCACGCCCCAGTACCAGCACACACACACACACACACAAACACAATAAATATAACTAAACCAGAAATGACAGTTTGGAGCAGCACTTTCCAATAGAATGTTCTGCAGCACTGGAAATGTTTTGCCCACTCTAACATGGTACCTTGTACAACGTGGTAACCAGATACTTGAAATGTGACTAGTGCAACTTAGGAATTGTGTTTTAAATGGAAGCTAATTGAAATATACACTTAGAGTTCATGGTCATATGTGGCTAGCAACCACATCATGGCCAGCACTAGCTTGGGAAAATTATTTGCTGACCTATAATCAACAAATGACTAATATCCAGAACGCAAGGATTCTGCAGCCCCGATGCAGAGTTTTCACCTCCCCAATCAGCAGCAAAACACTAGAGTGCAGCATCTTTGCTGCCATTGCACCAGCTAAAATGGAAAAGGCGGGTAATACTTCTGCCTGATAGTATACATAGATGTATGGATTTGAGCAAGCACACCCAGAGACATATCCCGAGGTTCTGTGCTAATTGAAATTATCCTTTCCAACTAGCAATTTTGCTCTAGATATTAAACCTAAGAAATACATGCATGTGCAAAGAGGAATGCCCAAGAATACACACTCAAATGCTAATTGTAATTAGCAAAAAATAGGGAAAAGTCCTATAATATTTATTTACAATAGTTTTCTAAAGTATTTATTTGTTTACTGCCAGTCCTGGGGCTTGAATTCAGGGCTTGGGCACTGTCCCTGAGCTTTTGTGCTCAAAGCTAGTGCTCTACCACCTTGCACTACAGCTCCATTTCTGGCTTTTGGGTAGTGACTTTGAAATAAGAGTTCCTACCCAGAACACAGATGTTCCTACTTGGGCTGTGTTTGAAACAAAACCCTCAGATCAGCTTCCTGAGTAGCTAGGATTACAG